TTTTCCTGTTGCAGTAATCCACGTAAAAGATGACAGCTTCAGCCGAGTGCTAACAGGTGGTTGGCTTCTAGGTATAAAACCAGCAGGATGTTTTCATGAATTGGATGTAGGGTGTGAAAGGAAGAGAAGACTCATGGATTGAGCCAGGGTTTGCTGCCCAAGCAAGTGGGAGAATGTAGTTCTCATGAACTGAAATAGGGCTGCTGGTGGGATGGGGAAAAAATGTAGGATTAGACATTTCATTCCCTACATTCATTTGGAGGTACCTGTTAGACATTCAAGATGCATATATAAGCTGTACATCTGAGAGTTGATGGCTCTTAAAGTCATGGCTGGTCCTAGTGATTTGGATCACCAGGAAGTGAGTGCAGAGAGAGGAAATAAGAGGATTGAGCTCTAGGGGCGCCTGGGTGGCTCAGTTGGTTAGGCGACTGCCTTCAGCTCAGGTCATGATCCTGGAGTCCCGGGATCGCGTCCCGCGTCAGGCTCCCTGCTCGGCAGGGAGTCTGCTTCTCCCTCGAAACCTCCCTCCTCTCATGTGCTCTCTCTCTCTCTCATTCTCTCTCTCAAATAAATAAATAAAATCTTTAAAAAAAAAAAAAAGAGGATTGAGCTCTAGGGCCTTCCTGGGTCCATCTTTTGGGATACACTCTTGTGTATCCTTGCAGGGCTATTCTACACTGTTCAAGCAGATATAGAAAGGGAGTGCCTTTCTCATAGAAGTACACATGTTACACATATGGGTGTGTACCTTACTTTTTTTTCAGTTACTAATATACCTTAGAAATTATTCCCAAGTGGTATATAAACATTGTCTTTGTTCTTTTTGAGGGCTGCATAATATTCCACTCTGTGGCCATACCATGATCTCTCTCTCTCTCTCTTCCTGTTTAAAATGTTTACTATGGGGGTGCCTGGGAGGCTCAGTTGGTTAAGCATCTGCCTTCTGCTCTGGTCATGATCCTGGAGTCCCGGGATTCAGCCCTATGTCGGGTTCCCTGCTGAGCAGGGAGTCTGCTTCTGCCCCCTCCCTGCTCCTTCTCTACCCTTCTCAAATAAAAAAATAAATAAAATCTTTAAAAATAAATAAATAAAAGTTTCACTATGGAAAATTTCTAACATATACAAAAAGTAGATAGAGAAATATAATGAATCCTCTCCCCACCCTGACCCATTACCCAACTTCAACAGTGATCAACTCATGGACAGTTTTAGTTTATCTAGACCACCATACACTCTCTTTCTTTCAAAATATTGTTTCTTGGTAACTTGTTATTTTGATGTAATTGTAAACTTACCATAACATCTATTTTTACAGGTATTTCAGTTGTGTTTAATATTTTATTGCTGTAAACAATATAGTAAAGAAATAGTACAACATGCCTATTCACAAAGACCACATTCCCTGGTGCCCAAAAGGACAAAGGGTTGGGAACTGAAATGCTTTCAGAACATCTCTCTTGAGGAATGGGTCCTGAACACTGAACACAAAACTCAACTTTCTCTTGGAAAGTCTCCTGGCCTTGGCCTCTACATTTCTGTTTTTTTTGTTTGTTTTTTTAAGATTTATTTATTTATTTGAGAGCAAGAGAATGAGTGGGGGGGCAGACAGAGAGGGAGAGAGAATCTCAAGCAGATTCCATGCTGACCATAGAGCCCAGTGAGGGTTTGGATCTGAAACCAGGAGTCAGATGCTTAACCAACTGTGCCACCCAGGCACCCATGCCTTTCCATTTCTGGCCCCAATTCTGGTGTGTGGGTTTTCCCACACCACCAAGCAATTGCCTAATACCAGCTGGGTGTTGTTAAAAGATAAACTGAGGCATATTAGCAATTTTAAGAGTTTGAGCAAAAATTGATTAAAAGCAGGCAGCATCCTATCTAGCAGACAGAAAGAAGCACTGAGGAGCTGTATGAAAGGCTTGTATAGGGCAAAAGGGAGCAGGAACAAGGAAGTTATACCAGGCGAAAAAGTGGGTTGATTATCACAAGGTTGTAAGGTTACTTTCCTTTAAGAGATGATGAACATCTATTAAGCTGATTACCTAACTAGTGCTGATCAGGTGATTCCTCATTGACTGGTTTAAGATTCCATTTCTGGGAGAGTTGAAATTGTAATTAAGTTAATTCTCAGTTTGTTGACATAGGGCTTTGCATAAGCAATTCCATTTTGGGCCGGTTGTCTTGCTTTTACCAATGTTGTTGGGGTCCAGGGCAGGCTGCCCCCAATTATGCCACTTTGGTAAATGGATTATTTTGAATTAAAGTTACTTAAGAAACAGCCAGTACAATAAGGACATTGTGACCCTTTTTTTTAATCTCCCTGAAAGCAGGAAATAAATTTCCCATGTAAAGGGTACCTGGGTGGAAGACATCCTTATCCCAGAGATAGGGAATTAAGGCCCAGAATGCTGTATAAATAAACCTTGTTTCCTTTTTCACTAATTTGCTACCCCAAGCTCCAACTTCTTTTTCTTGTCAATTCTTCACAGACTTATTATTTCTTTATCTAAAAGGTAAAAAAGCTGCGTGCTTCGGTTACTTCTTTGAGTCTCATGTTTTTATGAGTTTTCATATGTACAAAACTAAATTTTCTTATTTAGCCTGTGACTCTGTCTTATGTCAATTTAATGATTAGGCCAGCCGTAGAACCTAGGAAGGAGGAAGGGAAAAGTTTTTCTTCCCCTACAGTGTCCTACAATTCAACTCAATTCTGTCACTATTTACCCGGAGATCAGTTCCACATGTTAAGGGTTCAGTCCTATGAGACTGCCTTCCACCCCTTCAGAAAGCCAACTGCAAGTTCAGCTTGTCACCTGTGCTTCTGAGGACCAGCTAGCTATGGATGGGAAGTTCCAAAAACCCTCTCCTCAACTTCAATTAATTTGTTATAGCAACTCAGAGAACTCAGAGAAACAACTTACTGGATTGCAAGTTCATTACAAAAGGATTTAACTCGGGAACAGCCAGATGGAAGAGATGCATAGGTCAAGGTATGTGAGAAGGGACATGGAGCTTCCATGCCTTATCTGAGCTTGCCACTTTCCTTGAACATGCAAGCTCTCTGAACGCTATTCCTTTGGGTTTTTAGGGAGGCTTCATGATCCAGGCATGACTGAATAAATCATTGGCCATTGGCAATTGATTGAATCTCCAATTCCTCTTTTCTCCCCTTCTCCAGAGGTTAGTGGGTAGGACTGAGAGTTCCAACTCCAATCACTTGGTTGGCTCCCCTGGTGGCCAGCCCCCATTCTTAGGTGCTTTCCAAAAGTCACCCCAGGAACATAACAAAAGACACCTTTCTCACTGTCATCACAGGAAATTCCAAGGGTTTTTGGAGCCCTGTGCCAGGAGCAGGCGGAAAACCAAGTACATATTTCTTACTATAAATCACAATATCACAGCCTATAACTGACTCTCCAGAGCTTTTGCCTGTGACATTTTAGAAGGCCACAGGTTCAGACTAAAATCTTGGAAAGATATTTTCAGAATAAGCTTACCGTGCAGCTTTTTCTCTTCTGTATGGGTATTTTGTGTGTAAGCACCCAGCAGTAACTTTTCCACAAGTGAGTGCCATGCGCCCGACAAACAGAAGGGTCCTACCTGGCCCTTCTTTAAACCCCTGCCCTGAGTCTTCACCCTGTGTTGTGCATGTGTCTCCTCGAGTGGTGGTTGCATGGTGTTAGCTATCCCAACACATGTCCTCCTCTTTTCTGCTGCACAAGGAACTGAACAAACTGAGCCTGCTTCTCCCAGGGACTCTGTTGCTAGTGCAGGGCCTGGACCACAGGAGGCATCAGGGAGCAGTTACTGCCAAGTTGACTATATCAGAACATGACCCGGCTCATTACAGATGGCAAACTGGCTGCCAGGTAGAATTCAATGCTTGTGCTTGGCTACCTTAGTGTTTAAATTAAAAGCTAAATTAGTTGCTGACATGTAAAAGATTGCATATAGAAATTTCATATAGAAACACTCTCTTCTCTTGAAAAATGGGAAGATGGGCAATGTTGGGCTGGCATTCCTGCCATTCCTGCCTGGTATCAGTTGGCTGGAACTGAACAGTGTCTTCCTCTACAAAGGAAGCTCTTCAGGTCTCTAGTCTCCACACTCACGGGCATCTAAGCCCTGCTAATCTCTCTCCTTGAGGCATCTGCCTAGCCAGTGAAGACCCCTGTTTGTGACCCCTGGCTGTTAGCTGTGGTTGACAACCTTTTTAGTGGCTCCAGACACTTCAAGAATCTCGTGAGAGTCATGTACCCTCTCCAGCACAAGCACATAGCATAACATTTTACATACAATCGGGAGCTCTGCACCCCTCCTGAGGCCAGGCTGCAGACCCGCAGGGCGAGAACTCTTGAGTCAGAGATGACATCTTTCTCTGCCATCTTCTAACAGCCTTTAACAGATTCCCCCATGCTGACTTCTGCTTAACATTCCAGCCTCAGCTCAATCAGCAACCCGCGACAGGCCTTCCCTTTACCATTCATTGTTAATTAGCTATCCTCCCTCTGGCGCGCTAGTCCTCTTAAACTCTGCTTTTATTTTCCCCGGAAGGCTTCTCCCCTCTCTGAAACGATCTGGCTCAGGCATTAGTTCACCTGTTTATTATCTGACCCCCACCCGCGCTCCAATACAGTATAGCATGGAGAGAGCACTGTATCCCAATGCCTTGAAAAAGTGCCTGGTACTCAGTAGGCACACAATAAGAGCCTGTTGAATGAATGGATGGATGGACGGATCCCTCCATTCTCAGTCTCCTCGAGGTATCGGGTGGCAGGAGCCAGGTGAGAGAACAGCCGCACAGTAGGTGACCTTGGTCAAGTCCCGAACCCGGAGCCCCCTCCTCCTGAGCGGTGCCAGGCAGGGCCCGCAGGCGCCGAGACGGCGGAAACTTCGGGGCCGGAACGGGCGTGCCCGGCCCGCGCGGGTTGCGGGGGGGGCGGCTTAACCGGCCGGACCGTAGCGGCGGCGGCGGGAGGGGAGGGGCGGCGGGCGGCGGCGGCGGCGGCGGCGGCATGGCAGGTCGGCGGGTGAACGTAAATGTGGGCGTGCTGGGCCACATCGACAGCGGCAAGACGGCGCTGGCGCGGGCGCTGAGCACCACGGCCTCCACCGCCGCCTTCGACAAGCAGCCGCAGAGCCGCGAGCGCGGCATCACGCTCGACCTGGGTTTCTCGTGCTTTTCGGTGCCGCTGCCCGCGCGCCTGCGGTCGGCGCTGCCCGCTCCCCCGGCGGCGTCCGGAGCCGAGCCCGGGCCCGGCGAGCCGCAGCTTCAGGTCACGCTGGTCGACTGCCCCGGGCACGCCTCCCTCATCCGGACCATCATTGGCGGTGAGCGCGGGCCGGGGCGGGAGCCGGGCTCGGGGACCCTGGGCGGAGCGGCCGGGCGCCGTGTCCGAGCTCGCCCAAGCCGCTGTCGGGGAAGGGAGACGGCCTCACCTCACGGCCGGCATCCCCGCTCCCCCCAGGTCGCGAGAGGAGGACGGGGCTCGCCCAAGGCCCCGCGCGGCAAGGGAGCGGAGGTTCTGGGACTCGAACTCGCGGCCGGCTGACTTGGAACCTCTTCCCACCCAGCACAACCGCGCAGGAGTGCTTCCTTAAAGTTTTTGGTTTTGTTTTTTGCTTTTCTGTTTTCAAGATGAGTTTGTAATACACGAACAAGTAAGAAAACTCAAAGGCTACCAAAAGGGTATATGTAAAAAGTGTCAAAAAAAAAAAAGAAGTCTCCACTCACCTGTTCTTTGGTCTCCTGGTTCCCATTTCCAGAGTCAACCAGAGTCAACCGCTGTTCCCAGTTCCTTGTATCATTTCAGAAAAACTCCACGTAAAGACAAGCATACCCATGCGTAAACCCCCTTCCTCTTCTTTCTCCACAAAATAGTAGACACTATTTTAGTCAATACCAACGGCTCCATATCTGTACACGCAAAGCTATATTATTATTAGTTCTTAGAGAGGCAGAGAGAATCATAAGCAGACTCCACGCCCAGCATAGAGCCCTGGGCGGGGGGGGGGGGGGGGCTTGATCTTAGGATCCCAAGATCACGACCTGAGCAGAAATCGAGTCTTAGGGGACTGAGCCACCCAGGCGCCCCAAAAGCTGTATTATTTTTAAGGGTCATATAAAATTCCATTGTACACTTGTGCCAATGTTTTCTTATATAACTCTTAATGATGGACACCTATGTCATTTCCAGTTTTTGCTAATGATGCTTCAGTGAATTTTCTAGAACAAGTCTGGTGGGGGTGCTAATCTATCTGTAGGATAAGCTCCTAGAACTGAACTGGCCTGGGGCAAAGGGCACATGTATTTGCAGTTACGATGGGTATTGCCAAAATTCCCTCCAAAGATGTACCACTTAATTAATTTTTAATTATACAGGTAGTACATGAATAGTTCTGCTTGTGAAGAAATAGAACATTTCAAATTAGGTAAAGGTCCCCTAATTGCCCCTCCTGTTTCTCCAGAGGAAGCCACTGTTGTACCTTTGTGCATTACTTTTCTGGACACATTTTACCACAGTGGCAAAGCCCTGTGGACAAGGCTTTAAAACTTGCTCTATTTTTAGAGGAAAATGATGAAATAATAGAAGCACCTGGCACAAAAGGGTATACAGCTAAAAGAAGTCTTTTCTTCACTGCTGACCCGAGTGTTTGGTTGCTTTCCTCTTTTCCATTGCCTTCTGTTTCCTTCCAATTATGTGATATTCTCTACACCTGCAAGCACATATGGGAATATATATTGGGCAGATGGTTTTATTGGCTTGGTGGCAGATGGCCTCATTGGTCGCTGGGCATACTGGCTCCCAGTTGTAGTGATGAGTGTGTTAAGTACTTTAATCTTTGTTACCTCCCAGCTGTTCATGCTGCAGGCAGTCTGAGGTGATTTCCCCATTTTACAGTAGAGGAAGTGGAGGCTCAAAGGGAAGGGACCTGCCCAAGGTCACATGGCCTAAAGTCTTCCACTCAAGTCATGTTTCAGTCATCAGATGAATGTTAAGGGTCATGTGATCCTCTCTACCCTTTTCCCCTTCCCTTCTCTTAACAATTCTATTTACTCAAGTCCAAGTACATTTTAAGACAGGTACTCTGAGCCAGTCTAGGTTGGAGATGGAAGAACCAGGTTAAAATAAAACAAAAAGGCACTTTTAGGTTTTTTTGTTGTTGTTGCTGTTTTTAGTAAATAGTGTAGATGAGTAATGAAGGACATGCTTTTGAAGTCAGAACTGGGTTTGAGGCCTGGCTTTTTCCTTTACTAACTGTGCGACCTTTGAACCTCATTTTGGACCTTCCACACACTGGCAGATAGCAACCACACAGGTCTTTATTGGTTTTGCTTTTCTCACATGTTTGCCACTTCCCAGGCAGACCCTGTAAGGAATGTGGTGGTTACCATTTAATAGTTGAAGAAATTGGGACATGGGGAGGCTGCTGGTTAGTGGCACCCAGGTCTCCCTGGTCCCAAAGCTGGAGCTCTTTCCTATGCTTCCTCAGATCACTTTATGCTCCCCCTGCCCCCCTTCTAACATATCCATTTATAGAGAAGCTCTTTGTAGGACAAAATGTTTCAGGTGCCAGCCTTATCCTATATAACCAAATTTTAATGCCTCCAAGAATTTGGCAAATCCTTAGTTTATTTATTTATTTATTTTTTTATAGTTTTTTTTTTATTTTAAAGATTTTATTTTATTATTTATTTGAGAGAGAGAGAATGAGAGATAGAGAGCACGAGAGGGAAGAGGGTCAGAGGGAGAAGCAGACTCCCCGCAGAGCAGGGAGCCTGATGCGGGACTCGATCCCGGGACTCCAGGATCATGACCTGAGCTGAAGGCAGTTGCTTAACCAACTGAGCCACCCAGGCGCCCCGGCAAATCCTTAGTTTAGACTGTAGAAGAAAAAAAGAGGAATTTTTTCTCTTCTTGTATGTACACCGTGGTTCTTCTTACTTTTCTCTCACCTCCTGAGTGAGGAGACTTTCCTTACCTTCTTACAGGCATTAAAATGCAACCTGAACACAGTGGTATGGGAAGACCAAGGCTGCCACTATCCTTCCTTCCATAGATTAGGTTCCCACCCTTTTCAGAGAAATGAGAAAAAAATGAGGGAAAGGGCGCCCACATTTGAGTACCTGCTCTGGCCCATGCCTGTTGCTAAAAACTTGCATTTGTGCAACAACCCCTAGTGGTGGGAGTGTTAGGCCTATTTTTCCGATAAAGGAACTGAAGCTTGGAAAGTATCAAGTACCCTGGGCTGGTGTTTACCTAACTCTGCTGCCCCTAACCTGGATCTGGTTAATACCTTCAGTTATCCTCATGACTCATGAATCCATAGCCATCTTTGCCTTCTTAAGATTGCTCCAGAGGCCAAATCCCTGCCTCTGGCAGCTGGTCTCCTACAATGCAGGACCTACTTCTCACTGACTGCTTGCCCTCCTCTTCCTGCTACTCCATTTCCATACAAAAGGCAGCAAAACTCCTTTTACAGAGGTTCAGCAGATCATGTCAGCCCTCAGCTTCGACACTTCCCAGCAGCTTCTCTTTGTGCTTAGAGTAAAATCCGACCTCTTCTCTGTGGGCTGCAGAACCCACGATCTGGCCTCCCTTTTCCTCTGAGCTCATCCCTTGCCCTGACCTTCAGTCTCACTGGCCTCATTTTTACTTATTGAATGGGCTAGTTTTGCACCTGCTGTTCCCTCTTTTTGGTACATCTGGCTCCTCATGTATATCTCAGCTTGAGTGTCCTTTAGAGAGGGCTCCTCTGAGCTGCCTAGCTAAAGTACCCTCAATTCTCTCCCCCAGGAATTTTCTCATGTCCCTGTTTTACTTCCTTACAGCTCTTTCACTACCTGATAACTCTTTATGTGTTTACTTGTTGACTGTGTCTGTCCTCCATGAGAGTAGAGTAGGAATCATGTCTGGCTTATTTACCAGCATATTCTCAGCATTTGGGCCAGAGCCAGGTGTGTGGTAGGCATTTGGTAAGTCTGAATGGATGAAGCTGTGTCCCACTTCCTGGTAGTGGTAGTAGTGAGCAAAGAACTTTCTTCATGGGTTAGTGGACAGAAAGCAATCAGCATGGGGCCTGGCCTATAGTAGGTACGTTACACTTCTTGATTTTTTTCTCTCCCTCTGGGAACTAACAGCAGAACTGGGGAGAGGGCACTGTCCGATGTGCAAAGTGACCTATCAGATCTTTTTCCATCCAGGACAAAAGCAGGAATAACTCACTTTGCTGGGCAATGGGGTATAAGGCATCATGGGGGAAAGAAGAGCTTTCCTAGTGGAGGAAATGCCTGGTCAGGGCTCTGTGCCTTAAACCTGACTTTTTGTCTGTTTAGAGTCTGAGGTAACTGCTAGCATTTAGCTGTGGCTGGAAATCAGCATGCTGTGTGGGGAGGTATGATGAAGATGAAGGTAGAAGGGTTGGTAGGCCAGATCCTCTAGAGTGCTAAGTGTTGAACATAGATTAGGTTAGGCCCTTAGCATAGATTTCTCCTAAGGGCCTTGGCAGCATTTTAAAGCAGGGTTGTAACAAGATCAGGCCTCAGTGTTAGGACGATGCAAGATTCCCAGGCAGGGACTCTTACTGGCAGCAGGCAATGCACCTACACCTGGGATTGCTGGAAGATTGGGCTCTTGTTAGAATTCCTGGCTTGCTGTGAGTGATTTAGACCACTTGCTGAATACATTAGCCCTAGTAGAAGGAAATTAGAATGATTGTCTCAGTTCTGTGATGATATCTCTGAGGTTTAATATATCTTATATTAAAGCCAGTTCTCTTTGATTCTCTTGCTCCCCCCAAAGTCTTTTCACTACCCAAAAGATTCCTTTCTTAACTTAGAGAAAATTGGGCTTTATCTCCTCAATCTGTGTGGCCATAGATAAAACTCCTGTGGTACCAGAGGGAGGTTAATAGTGACAGTAGTACTTAGCCTTTATTTAGTGCTGCCCTTAAGCTATATTTCCCCCCATTTAACTCTCAAAGCAATCTTGTGAGGTAAGAGATGATATTCCCATTTTACAGGTGAAAAAGCAGGCTCAGAGAGGTCAGGCAGGTAGCACAGTTCATAAGTGTCAGGGCTAGGTTTGAACCTATGTTGATCTGACCACACAGCTCCTACTCTGGCATTCTCAATGGGAATGAAAAAGTGTATCCGTCTACTGCAACCCCTATAGTAGTGTTTCAGGGCAGTATTTTTCTCTGATCCATTTTAGAGTATAAATCTTTCAGGGTTAGAACTTCAAAAAGATTCAGTAATGTATGTTTTAAAGACTTGGGTGGGGGTGAGGGACTTGGAGCCATCCTCAATCTAACTCTGGCAGGAAGGAGGA